ATGAAACTTTCTGTCATGAGATCAAGTGATTTTGTAGACAAAGAATCCATGAATAAATACTTTTTTTAGATTGTTGAAATATATATCATTCTCACTTTGTCACTCCATTGAAAACTTGATCGTAGAAACTACATTGCAACAATTAATATTGCTTCAAGTTGTGTACGAGAACACTTTCCTAAAAATAATGGTTGCCTCCACTAGTTTTTTAGAAATATGTACACTAGAAATTCTGAAAATCTGTTCTCAAGATGTAATGAAGCTTCTCAAAACTTCTTGTGTATTGCACTTACGAAGATAGTACCCAAATACCTTAAGAAAATAAATTAACCAACTTTTTGTATTTTAACTCTGCAAAAAATAGAATACTAGATTGAATATAAAAGAATATATGCATGTGAATTTGGGAGAATAGAGAGAAGTAGAATGAGAAAGCAATTCTTGTAAGAAGTAAGAATTATTCAATGGTATGCTTTTGGGAGTGCAACATATCACCTATAGATAGACTCACCAGTGATTTTTCATAAATGGTGAAACCATATGTAATGGTGTCTTTTGGTTCAAAGGGTATCAATTGTAACTCTATAAAAAGGTACAACTATTTTAATTGGTGTCTTTTAACCAAATGTGTTAATGGTGGTTTTATAAAAGGATGTAACCATTTGGATTGGTATCTTTAGCCAAAAGACACTAACTTTGAATTAGTAGCCTTTCATGTCATTTTTACTTCACACCTTTCCAATTTCTCCCAAAAGTCACAAAGATCTTTTCAAAAATAACCACACAGAAAAGCTTTTATTTTGAAAATGTAAAATCCGGTAAATTTAAACTTTTGTAAACAAGGGTAAAACGGTAATTTTACCGCTATAGTATGGGTTGAGAACCTGAATTTTTTTAGATCTCAGATGGTGAAATGGATCTCACAATTGGGTTCATCTCACAAAATTTAGATACCACGTCAAATTTCATCAAATTCTGAGACAGTCGAATTTTTCGCATTTTGCGAGGCAGTAGAGTCTCGGGTGACCCAAAAATGGAAGTTTTAATAAAATTTCGAAAGTTGGGAAATAATTAAACGCAAATTAAAATAAAATTAATTTAAACTTGAACCAGGACAAAATTTAATCGTTTTGGGATGAAAACGGACCCGAAAATAAAAGGGTCGTGTGGCGCATTGTGGGCCTAGTATTCTAAAGTATAAATAGGGGGAAAAATCAGATTTTTCCCCCATTCTTCAGCTATTCACCCGATAGAAAAGAGAAGAGAAGAGAAGAGAGGAAAAAATCAAGGGTAAAATCATAATTTTGCTACGAATTTTTGGAAAGTTCGATTTTGATACTCATTGCATAGCATGGGGTGAAGGTAGATAGCCGAAGCTAGAAAAGCTTAGTGTAAATACACATTGGCATGACATGTGTGGTGGAGCCGGGAAGGGCTCAGGTAAATTGCATGAATGAGCATCATCTCATCTCATGGCATGGTATGTTAGATTTCAATCTTGACTTGCATAAGTGTTGATTGGAATGGATTTTGGTTGTGTTTTGTTGCATAATACATTGCATATACACTTAGGTTGGGAAGTAGCCCTTGTAAGAAATACTCTACTGGGCATTGGCTCACCCTATAAGGGAACACATTTCAGGTGTGGGATTCGTACCAGTGGACGACTCATATTCGGGACCTCAAAGATGAAGAAAAGCCAGAATGTGGCTTTTGTTATGAAGTTTTGTAAAACTTTTGGTTTAATTCCATTTTGACATGTAAATCGTATGGATTGAGTTGTGATAGACTTGTTTGAATGATGTATATTGTAGAAAATACATTTATACATGTTTGGGACGAATTTTGAAGGGTTTTGAGTGGATTGGAAATGAAAAACTAAAGAGGCATAAAATTCTGGGCAAAACCTTCCGAAAGGTTAATGAAGACTTTTGGTCCAGCAGAACAAAACCTTCCAGAAGGTTGAAGAAAACCTTCTGAAAGGTTAGTGTAAATTGAATTCTAGTAGACAAAATCTTCTGAAAGGTCTATAAAACCTTTCGGAAGAACTTTTTCAGTGAGTAAAACCTTCTAGAAGGTCTATGCAAAATCTTCCGAAAGGTTTTCCAAAAATCTGAAATTTTAAGAATACATTGTCATGCTTTTGGGCTATGTGTTCTTTGGTTTCAATGACTCAAATGGACCTTAAATGAGATATAGTGGAGTATGTTGAACCTCAATGGGATTAAATGAATTGAAGGAAACATGGATCCACGCATCGGTTGTAATCCCGGTTACAGGGATGTGATAGATGTGATGTCGGGTTATGTGACAATCACGGGTATTTTTGCGGGTTGACTGGAGATCAACGGGACCCCAGTTTTAGGGGCGTCACAGAAAATGCTTTGACAATATTAAGTGAGCAAAATGAACTCTACTTTTTTGCATGTGGGTAGTGATTGTCATAAATGAATGGAGAGATGNGATTAAATGAATTAAAGGAAACATGGATCCACGCATGGGTTGTAATCCCGATTACATGGAAGTGATAGACGTGATGTCGGGTTATGCGACAATCACGGATATTTCCGCGGGTTGATGGGAGGTCAACGGGAGGCTTTTCCCAATGGGACTGTTGAGATTCAAAATCTCAAGAATGGCAATGTTTATAAAGTTAATGGATGGCGATTAAAATCGTAAAATCGTTCTTGAAGGGATTTGTGACTGATGTGGAATCCAAAGAGTTGGTGGATCTACGTCATGACTTGAATAATTGATTTCAAATAATTTGTATTGTATAATAGATTTCTTTTAATTTCATTTTAATTTTAATTTTTTATTTTTGGTGTATAATGTTTGTTTTTGAGTGCTAGAATTGCATTTATTTTGAGCTAATTATTGTTTATCCTATTGATTTTATTCTTTGATGATACTTTTGTATTTGATTGATTTATCAAGTAAAATAGGGAGATTGAGTTGGTTTCTAATGCTTGATAACTTGATTGGATGAATTGAAGAATGCATGAAAATCAAAAGGATCAAAGTGATAAAAGTGATATTTCAGAAAGTCAAATAGGNTGAAGAATGCATGAAAATCAAAAGGATCAAAGTGATAAAAGTGATATTTCAGAAAGTCAAATAGGTGACTATATTTCTTTATTGACATTTTGACAAAGGCATGTAATGAGACATCCTTAGACAATATTTTTTTGTAACCAAATGAATGTAATATATGTTGTATGAGTTTGTAGGGTTAAAAGTTAAAATCTGAGAAATTTGGAGAAATCTGGACCCCAAGTACCGATACCTATACTTATACGTATCGGTACTCCGCTGACAGTGGACCCAAGTATCGGTACCAAGTGTTACAAGTACCGGTACCTAGCATCTAGAGGGCTCAGGTGCCCATACTCCTTATCAAAGGTACTAGTACTTCTTCCCGAAAATTGATTTGAACTTCAACGCTTCCGAGCCTTCATATCTAATATATGCACAGGTTATGTATTGGGTAAAGTTTCCGTGATAAGGAGACTTTTCCCAAATTCTGTTTTGTTATAATCTTAGTGAATGGGGTGTTATGACATGGTATTGGGTTATNGCAAAGGAGACTTTTTCCAAATTCTGTTTTGTTATAATCTCAGTGAATGGGGTGTTATGACATGGTATTGGGTTATACGGTATTCACGGGTATTCCATGAGTCAATGAGTGATTAACGGATTGAGAAAAGACTCCCGGATTTTGGGGTGTCACAATCCCATCCATATACAACAACTAGGATCGCTCAAATCTTTGTCGATAATATCTTCATTGTATGTAATGCCACACTCAATTGTCAACCATAGGGAATCGGTCTGGTTTTTTTTTTTTTTTTTGTGGATTGCATAAAGTGCATTTTTAAGTGAAAAAGATAAGCTTTAATAACTCGATCTAATCCATTCTTAGCTGGCCTAGCTTGTTATAAACCGACCAGTAGCTACATGCCTCAGTCTTCCTTTTATGAACTAAGCACTCTAATAAGCCATGTACATTGGTGTGTGTGTCATGCTCAACACAGCGTGATAGCATTATTGGGGCATACAATGTGTTGGCCTTGTCATATGCCTACTTGCAGCAACCATGGACTCAACATTGATCAAAGTTGGCAGCAAGTAGGATCCGAGGTAGGGCTTGCCTAGAACACCAATTGGTAGTGCTTAGCATTACGCATCTCCAATTCTTACAATTTTTTAAATTCAAATTTAAACTTGTATACAAATTTTCTAAAACCTCCTCCAATGCTAGACTCATATCTATACCAAATTAAATGAAACTCATTTTTTTATTTAAATCAAGGGATACAAAAATTCATACTACAATTTTTAATGGTAAGATTTAACTCTCCTTTAAAGATTCAATGGTTATATTTAATTTTTTTTTTAAATTTATGTTTATTCTCATTTGAATTTTAATTTTTTTCTTTAAATTTGAATTTATTTAAAAAAAAAAGACTATATTGAATCAAGTTTTTTATTTTTTAAAAAAGACTATATTGAATCAAGTTTTTTATTTTTTAAAAAAGACTATATTGAATCAAGTTTTTTATTTTTTCCTTTCTTTGATAAGGGTTTGGAATTTTATCGGAGAAGGTTGAAAATGGTTTTGGGGTTTTCGGCCTCAGCCGCCCGCACGCGCTCTCAGTCTCTCTTTTACTACTACGATGACATTAGAGCACAANAAGGTTGAAAATGGTTTTGGGGTTTTCGGCCTCAGCCGCCCGCACGCGCTCTCAGTCTCTCTTTTACTACTACGATGACATTAGCGCACAATAACGAATTCTGTTACTTGTGCAAATTGAAGTAGGAGAAGAAATGCTGGGAACAACCAGCCGCGCGGTTCGCAGGCTCTCCTGCTGCTCTATCCGTCACCACCGTCGTCAATATCCGAAAATCCTCGGGGATTGGGGTGGCTGTGGCCTCGTTTCTCTCCCAAACGCCGGCAAAACGCTCCTATCTCAGTCATATCCTCAAAACCCNGAGAAGAAATGCTGGGAACAACCAGCCGCGCGGTTCGCAGGCTCTCCTGCTGCTCTATCCGTCACCACCGTCGTCAATATCCTAAAATCTTCGGGGATTGGGGTGGCTGTGGCCTCGTTTCTCTCCCAAACGCCGGCAAAACGCTCCTATCTCAGTCATATCCTCAAAACCTTGACACTAATAATGTCAATACTTGTGTCGCCATCGGAGCATTCTTCTCCACGACATCGGACCGTCTTGATACTAATTGCAGGCGTAACAACACCCCCACCTTCTCTGCCGCCGCTGATACTATTGGTTTTGACCGCCATTTAGAAGCAGAGTCGGACGATGATGCTGACCAGCCACTGCGTGCTCGGACAACAACTACTGAGGCTGTGGTCGATGCGCATTCGGCTATAGAGCTGGCTCTGGACTCGGTGGTTAAGATTTTCACTGTGTCCAGCAGCCCCAATTACTTCCTTCCCTGGCAGAACAAGTCCCAGCGCGAAACTACGGGTTCTGGTAACTATTTCAATATTTTTTTGACCTTTTTCAGGTGCAATTGCTGTTTGGATTTTTACTGATTTTGAATTCTATTTTATATTCTTCCTTACAATGGACAACAAATCGTCCAAAAACTATTAGAAAGGAACCATGAGCATAAAATAAGAAACACAAACAGAAACCTACCCTATGAACCCAATGTTTCTTTAGCTGTCGATGGAAAACAAATCATCCAATCGACATTGTCCAAAAACTATTAGAAAGAAGCCATAAGTATTCAATAGGAAACAACACCAGAAGCCTACCATATGAACCTGTTACATGCACACTTTGAAGAATTTAGAAAATAAAATGAAAAATAGAATTGAGAGAAGAAAACCCACCTTCAATGGTTCAATTTGAGAAGAATTTATCTCCAAAACTTCAGAAGAAAGTTTAATATAATATTCATCACATATCCATTTTATTGATAGGAAGACGTTTAAATGTAAGATAATAAAACTACTTTAATAACTAACTTGACCCATGACTCTACTATCTTAGTAACTAGCTAGGAAAGTGCACACAAAATACTCTAACATTAACCCACTTACTAAAATAACTCCCTAATAACTACCTCAAATATATTAAAAATATGTACATAACAGAACTCAATGTTTCTTTAGCTATCAAAGTTATAAATAGCATTGTAAAATGTAACTTTGCTTCTTTACTTTGTTAAGTTACTTCATGTTTGGTTACTTGATTAGGATATATTAAATTCTTCTTCTTCTTCTTCATGTTTGCTTTGTCCTTTGCGGCTGTTTCCCTAACCGACCATTTGATTAGAAAATGAAAGTGGTAGGATGCGAAGTGAATGAAAGGAAACTGAAAGGAAAAAAATTTCCAAGCATTATAGAAAACTTTCTTTGTTTGAAAGCATGAAATATACAAGAAAATTGTTGTACGTCTCGAAATGGCCTCAACATTTTGAACAAATGCTACGTTGTTGGTTCTAATGCTGCTTGGTGTTGCTTGTTTGTCCTTCGTTCTTGTCTGTAGTGCTCCTTTAGCAACTGAGAATTGGGTACAAATCTTGCTCTTTCTCCTATTGATTTCAAATTTTCTTGTAGGGTAGCTGGGCTGGTTTTTCCATGCTCCCAATTTGTTTTATAGGGGGATGCCGCTTCTATTTGGTATGTATGTTCTTTCTTTTGAAATAAAAAGGTCCCTTAATACAATCTAAATGTTACCCTTAAAAAGAAGGCAATCAGGATTGGAATTACATTAGACAACCCAAAAAAAGGCAAAGTTCCTTTTGGTTTCTCGATCAATGACAACTGCAGCAGATAAACTCGATGATTGTTGTAGGAAACATATTCAAGTACTTGATCTATATCCAATTGAAAGCATCACAAGGCTATCTACATATTTTACAAATTTTACTTTTATACTAGGACAGCAAGTCTCTAAATGGTTAGTAATGACTGTGACAAAGAAAAATCATAAAAACCAACTCCAAAACAATATTATACGAACTAAGCTCATGGCCTAAAAGCCTACAACCCTTGTTCAACAAATGTAACATTGCCAAAATATCCTTGAATCTAAAATAAGAAAATTCATAAGATAGAAAATGATTGAAAATACCCCAAAGCAAGTTTCCAGGAAAAAATATATCATGAGTTTCATGTGGGCCTTTTTCAAGGTAAGGTTTTGGCTTAGGATGCTCCATGTGGCCCTTTTTTAGGCTAAAGTTTTGGCCTAGGAACCAAAATTGCCTTTAATTTCAAAATTCATGTTGGGAGTGAGGAGGGTTTCATCACTTCTAGAGTTCTCCTTAGTTTAAGATTTTGTATGCAAAGATGTGGCCGTTATTGTCAACACATGACCATTGACAAACAATCGTATGCGTTAATTGTCCCCTATGATAGAGAATCCAACCCAAAACTAATTGGCATAGGCGCCCTAAGCATATAAATCAACCTTGGGTAGTTCCAAACTTCTAATCATTCGATGCGGGAAATAAACTCTCTTCTACCCTCCCTCACATGGGACCAAGCTTGCACCTGGGGTTAATAAACAAGCAAACAAGCATGCATATCGGAACATTTAAAGGGTTGAGAGATTTGACCCATTGGCCGTCTAAGGCCTAGCTTCGATACCATATTAGAGTATCCAACCCAAAACTAATTGGCAATGAGTGGAGACCTCTTAAGCATATAAACTAACCTTGGGTGGTCCTAATTATTCGATGTGTGATACAAGCTCTCTTACACAATGGATAAGTATTGCATGTGTCTTTTAGTGCACGTATTCCTTGTAGTAATGCTCTTACTACAAGGAAGTTAGGGTAGCGGGCGGGCAGGAAGTTAGGTCAATTAGTTGCTCAATCCACCGAGGCAAGGGATCAGAGGGAAGGACCCNAAATCAGAAGAAAAACAAACCAATTAATCAAACCGCAAGCTAAGGGATTACATTCACTATGAGAAGCAGCAAAAATTGCAGTCTTTGTTCAACGAAGAAAAGGAAGCACCAAACCAAAAGAGAAAACCAAAACCAGCAACCAAAAGAGGAAACNAAAAAGAAGGCAATCAGGATTGGAATTACATTAGACAACCCAAAAAAAGGCAAAGTTCCTTTTGGTTTCTCGATCAATGACAACTGCAGCAGATAAACTCGATGATTGTTGTAGGAAACATATTCAAGTACTTGATCTATATCCAATTGAAAGCATCACAAGGCTATCTACATATTTTACAAATTTTACTTTTATACTAGGACAGCAAGTCTCTAAATGGTTAGTAATGACTGTGACAAAGAAAAATCATAAAAACCAACTCCAAAACAATATTATACGAACTAAGCTCATGGCCTAAAAGCCTACAACCCTTGTTCAACAAATGTAACATTGCCAAAATATCCTTGAATCTAAAATAAGAAAATTCATAAGATAGAAAATGATTGAAAATACCCCAAAGCAAGTTTCCAGGAAAAAATATATCATGAGTTTCATGTGGGCCTTTTTCAAGGTAAGGTTTTGGCTTAGGATGCTCCATGTGGCCCTTTTTTAGGCTAAAGTTTTGGCCTAGGAACCAAAATTGCCTTTAATTTCAAAATTTGNATGATTGAAAATACCCCAAAGCAAGTTTCCAGGAAAAAATATATCATGAGTTTCATGTGGGCCTTTTTCAAGGTAAGGTTTTGGCTTAGGATGCTCCATGTGGCCCTTTTTTAGGCTAAAGTTTTGGCTTAGGAACCAAAATTGCCTTTAATTTCAAAATTCATGTTGGGAGTGAGGAGGGTTTCATCACTTCTAGAGTTCTCCTTAGTTTAAGATTTTGTATGCAAAGATGTGGCCGTTATTGTCAACACATGACCATTGACAAACAATCGTATGCGTTAATTGTCCCCAATGATAGAGAATCCAACCCAAAACTAATTGGCATAGGCGCCCTAAGCATATAAATCAACCTTGGGTAGTTCCAAACTTCTAATCATTCGATGCGGGAAATAAACTCTCTTCTACCCTCCCTCACATGGGACCAGCTTGCACCTGGGGTTAATAAACAAGCAAACAAGCATGCATATCGGAACATTTAAAGGGTTGAGAGATTTGACCCATTGGCCGTCTAAGGCCTAGCTTCGATACCATATTAGAGTATCCAACCCAAAACTAATTGGCAATGAGTGGAGACCTCTTAAGCATATAAACTAACCTTGGGTGGTCCTAATTATTCGATGTGTGATACAAGCTCTCTTACACAATGGATAAGTATTGCATGTGTCTTTTAGTGCACGTATTCCTTGTTGTAATGCTCTTACTACAAGGAAGTTAGGGTAGCGGGCAGGCAGGAAGTTAGGTCAATTAGTTGCTCAATCCACCGAGGCCAGGGATCAGAGGGAAAGACCCGATATTTATTGGCTAGACCCAATTTCAATAAAAGGGGTAAAAGGAAGGTAAGAAAGAGGAGTTGCTAGATTAGGCGATAGGAAAGAAAGATTATTAAAGGCGCATGGAATTTAGAGAGAACACTTGGCGGATTTAGTTGTAGACATTCTCAAAAGTTGCTTCTCTTTTAGCAGTAAAATTAATCTGTTAAATCTTGAATAAGAATATAACATTGACTTGCAAATTACAATTGTTTGGATGCAAGTCTTTAAAGCCCTTTTGGTAGTGTGGATTTATGAGGCTGTTGTGGGTCCCTGAAAACTATAGCTGCTTAAGAAAAGATGAAAACAAGCAACAAAATTGTAATACCATACACATGAGAAATTTACGATTCACATACTTTAGGCTCCTCATTATGCCCATATATTAGAGCTCAATAAATTTATCTTGTCTGATTTTGGGATATGTCAACTCTACGCTATTACTGCATATATTTTAGCACTCTTTCACAGTTCCACGTTGCTCTTTTAACCTAATATCTCCACAATTTTCCTATAGGATTTATTATTCCTGGGAAGAGGATTTTGACAAATGCTCATGTGGTGGCTGATCATACTTTTGTACTTGTAAGAAAGCACGGTTCTCCGACCAAGTATAGAGCCAATGTCCAAGCTGTTGGTCACGAATGTGACTTGGCTATATTGGTTGTTGAACGTGAAGAATTTTGGGAGGGCATGCATTTTTTGGAGCTTGGTGACATTCCATTTTTGCAGGAAGCTGTTGCTGTCGTTGGTTATCCCCAAGGTAATGCAATAAGATACATATAATTCATAGTAGAATTGGCCTTATATATTTGAAAGAATATATGATAAATTCATAGATTATCAACTTATATTTTTGTATGATGCTAATTTTGCTTCAAAGTTATACTGAGATTGCCATGATATATTGTTGTATGATGCTAAGTAGAAATAAAAAGTGAATAGGGTATTGCTTTGATTTGATTTTATTTTTATAAATCCCAAAATTAGTGTTTTACATCACATATGGAACATATAATGACAAACTTCTCTCGACAGCTATTACTTAATGGTGGGTTATGCTACTTGAAAACTTTCACATGCCAAGTGCTCAAGGATCGTCTATCCACAATAACACACTTTGGCAAACTCTTTTTGGACTATGTCCTTTGTTTTTCTAGTCCCTTAGTCATTGGTTGTTCATACATGCCTATGAATGCTGCTTGGGGCCAAAAAAAGTTCTTTTTTTTATTACTTGTCCACCTTCCATGCTTTCCCTACAGGATGCAGAATAAAAAATGTTCTGCCTGGTTGTTTGAATCCTTATCAAGTATTTCATTTAGTATGAACTTCAAATTTATGTCTGGATTTTTACTGAAGGTCCAAAATTTTAATTTAGCGTAGGCCATCATTTTTTGCCCCACGTCTTGGTCATGTTAATCTTGACCATTGGTGCTCTTTCTCAATCTTGAAAGTGCAGTTAGGATAGGCAGGTTTTAATATTTTTGTTGCATAGTGGTTAAATGCCATTTTTTTTTAATTTTCATGATAAATGTGGGAATTGAGAATGCGCCATATGTATCTCCATCCATTGCTGCAATAATATTCATTATATGTGTTCATGTCGCCAAAATTAGTATTAATTCTATTTTCTACCACGTTTCTTACTATTAACACAAAAGTACTTAGATAATAGACAACCACAACCATAAGGGTTGTATCCATAGTTTGATTGTGGAAGTAACAGATGTCTTAGGAAATTATCTGCAATCTGTTGCATAAATAATCTGATAACCTTTAATAGATGAATTTCATGCTAATTTATGTTAGTCCCAAATAGAAACCATACTTATTGGCAGAGACCTTATCTATCTTTGCTTCCTCTGAGGTGCATTATGTGTGAAAGAAGTGAGGACAGTCTTGATCATTTCTTTCTTCATTGCCCGTTTGTTTACTCTTGATAGTAGATTGTCTGTTTTGGTAGAGATTTGTTGGATTGTGCCGGAGTCTCGTAGAGCGATGCTTGAAATTGAATTTTGCAGTCTTAGAAGGAATAAACCAGCTATATCTTTGTGGGGATGTGCGGTGATGGCTATTTTTTGGGGTATTTTGCTTGAGAGAAATGAAATAATTTTTGAATATAAGTGTGAGAAAAGGTGGAGTGCATATGAGAAAAAATATGCTTTTTGGCATCCTTTTAAGTTTCCTTGTCCCCCCCCCCCCCTGTCTCTTTTAACCAACT